TTCGAGGAAGGGAGGCCTGGCGAGGGACCTGCTAATGCAGCAACAGTGCAATTCAGGGCAGGGCAGGGAAAGCACCCAGGGAATTTCTGCTTGGCAGAACGCGGCTGCCCTGACGGGGCACCTGCACAGACTCCCCCTGCACCTGGTGAAACTCTCAGGACAGAGATCACTGATCGCTACCGGTGCTCGGGTACTCGGCTGGACATGGGCTCTCAGACCCCTGGCCCAACCTAACCGGGCTTGCGAGGCCAGAAGGGATCATATTATATCGTTGTCACCGGTAGTCCCTTGATATGAAGATGATAGTCTTCCAAAAAAATAGGGAAGTCATGGGTGAATCTGTAGACGACAGAGACCACTCCATGATCCACCCATTTGACTGCAGATGTGGCAAATAGTTTCAGAAGGAAGGAGATGATCCTGGTGACGTTGGGGACAGCTCTTTCCCAAGGCATCCCTGAGAAAGTCACTTCCCACCCTGTGCTTCTGACCCCCTTTTTAGGTCAGAAATTCTCTGCAATGAGAGCCTCCTCCCACCCCACAACTACATGTACGGGAGCTAGCAGTGCCTACAGGCCCTATTGCACCGTAATACAACCCACGCAGACTCGTCCACTGCCCAAGCAGACAGCAAACAGGTTACCCAGGGAGATATTGTGAGATTAGCCAGAGACCTCCCTGCAGACAGACCTGGGCCAAGAGCATCAACTTGCCTGCTCAAGCAGGTACGCTTACTTTGGGCACATGCTTCACTGTAGTAATGGGTTTTTGGTTGTAGCCGTGTTAGTCTAAGCACGTAGGCAGGCAAGGTTCTTTGGGTAGATGTGATCTTTTTTATTCGACCAACTGAGTAGTTGGAAAGTTCTTGCAAAAGTTGCTTGCAAAGAACTTTTTTTGCAACATGTAAAAGATGTCACATCTGGCCGCACCGTAGTAATGGGATGTGGCTGCCACCTAGTGACAATGAGATGTAAACTCAGAGAAGAGGTTTGACACCAAAGAAGAGGGGAGAGCCTCCTCACATCTGGCCTTATCCGTCTCCCAGCAGCCAACGCAGGACCAGCCCTCGCTGGACTGCAGCCACCTTGCCCCCCACCAACCACTGAGCTGTATCCCCAAGGTGGCTCCATACCTTGGATTTCAGTGGCAAGCCCCACACCCAGATTCCCTGCCCCTCCAGGAGCACATCAGGCTGGATGAAACTGCTGCGCAGACCAGACCTTTGACCCCACAGTGGAGAGGGATTTTTGTCAGTAGATCTGAAAGCACTTTACAAAAGAAGTCAGCATGACTGTACTGATAGGGAGAGTGAGGCATAAAGAGGCATGACCTGATCACCCTGCAGGTTGGAGACCTGTATACTGGGTCCTAGTCCAGTGGTGCAAGCAGAAGGGCCCATGGAGTCCCTGAACAGTTACTGCTTTGATTAGCATTGTCAGCCAGGTCTCAGCTCTGAAACCTGGACTGCGCACACAGGTTGACTCCAGTCTCGGATCATTTATGACAATGGGTGACTGCAGCCCTCCATCTCTGGTGAGTTTAACTCTCCCAAAGAGGGTCTGGGTAGCCAGCCCATACGGTACCGAGTAGTGCCATCGGAGATGGCTTGGGTACCAGCAGCAGCAGAGCCACATTAGTGCAATGCTTGCTGCTGCTGGGGCTCATGGACCTGAAAAGCAGGGCCTGCAAACCAGGCAACACACCATACTACTGCTCTCACACCCTGGGGTCTGTACCCAGCGCTGCTCGCCACAGACAGCAGGTTCCAACCCTTCGTTCTTGGTCCGATTGCTTGGGTAACCAGCAACTCCACAAGCAGAAGCTTGATCAGCTCAACTCCCCCCACAGCCCAACCCCTCAAGCCACCTAGGCTTCAGCAACTGAAAATGAAGCCAACAGTGAGTTGGGGGGCCAGGAAACTCTGCACCCCTAGACGGGGCATGCACAAATGAGGGTCCTAGTGTGAAGCTGCTCATCACCTCCAGCAGCTTTTACAGTCCAGTTCAGTGCGAAGTGTCCAATCCCAGGACTGACCAGGCAAGCAGCAGATGGCACTGCTCCATCAGTGCTGGAGCGGTCCCTTAATGGTCGATGGAATAGGCCTGCAAACAGGGCCTTTTCCAGGGCAGCAGCTGTACAGCAGCATTTTCATGTTGCTGGGAAACGTCGTAGAGTTGGGCAAAATGTCCAAGTTATTTCAAAACTGAATCCCTGGCTCCTGCTTCCCATCAATGTTTCCTCAGGCTGTTTGCTGCAGAAGGCGCCCTGTTATCTAACAGCAGCTGCAGAACAGATTTATATTTTAATGGGTCAGAAGGGGATCGCTGAGGGACCTTCTGCCACCCATCTGCAGCTCCCTCCATGAAAACACGCCATTTCTGACCCACTGGTTTGGTCTCCTGCAGAGCAACTTTTTGCCTTTAGAACAGGCTGCATTAAACCTTGGGCCAGGTATTTTAAAATGCCTCTGTACAGTAAGAGGAGAATACAGTCCATCTGCCCTTACAGGATGACACAAGCTTTCCACAAAGCCCGTGCGTCCCTCTCACCAGGATGTTCTGCAGGAAGTAGGAGGGGTTCCAGGGAGCTCACGGAGGGGATCCGCTCCTTTGCCAGCTGGCATTGCTTCCTTGAGTTAAATGGAGAACAAATGACTATGTGCCCCAGCACTTTGTTTCCTCCCATTTGCCAGCCCCTGCAGCTACCCTAGTACACAGGGCTCAGGAGAGGCTGAGGGGGAAGATCCCAGCCCTTGGAATAAGTTAGGGCTAGAACTTAAAGCAGATGCATTAAAAGCAGATGTGCATAGTTTCCACCTATCATGGTGTCTCTTGGAAAAACAGTTCTGCTAAAGTGAGCAGAGCCACACCTCTCCAAGGGACTGGGAAGAGACCAGCCCTAAACATACCTGCTTTGAATCAATGCTGGGTTTTCACATTTACAGCCAGATTTAGATCCCTAGCTCTTGGATATATGCTGCATCAGCCACAGCTGTTAACAGCTTCCTTGCTGCTTCCCAGGGAAGGAAGATGGGAAATCCTTGCCTTGTCAAATAGCCAACACCTGGCTCTGGTTGAGCAGGTGGCTCCACTCCTACCTGATGTTAACACCCACCTGAAGCATGCAATGCAGCAGTCTGCCAGGGAGGTTGAGAAACTGGTGCTGCAGCTGGTTTCAAGCTGCCTTTTGACTTGCTGGATTTCCTTTGTCAGCAGCTGCCTGAATGTTTTCTGCTGCACTTTCTAGTGACCTGCAGCTGTACTGAAATGATCCAGGATACGGTCCTGTTCCATTAAACATAATGCCAGTGACAAAGGGGCATTTCTTTCAAAGTGAGCCATTCTCAGTGGGTAGCAGTGGAGATGCCAGCCATAAAAAGCAAGAGCTGCATTTTGCTTCACCAAGCAAGGGGAGCCGCCTGTCAAGCAAATCTGAATGAAAGGGTTTGCAAGCTGGCCAACTTGCTGAAAGGGATGAGCGGCAGAAATGAAAGGGCTGGTCTGCACATAGAGATGACACTGATTTCACTATGCAAGTGCAATTTCTGACCAGAACCAGCTTAAGAAAGGCCCTTACTAGCTCTGCAAAGCTGAGCCCCAGAATCGGAAAGGAATTCCAGGTGGATTTCATTGCAGGCAGGGTATACAGAAGGTGGCTGGCTCGAGGACATCTGTGTTCAGAATACTCAATATATGAGTTAACCTGTTCAAACACTGTGTTTATAATAGGGCCAAGCAACTGATTCTTAAGGGGAGGTAAAGAAACAAACACCTTAAGGCAAGTCTGGACAGAGGGATGAGAGCAATCAGTGTTTTAAAACACTACGATATGGGGAAAAAATGTCAGCATAAAGCTCTGTTTGAGAAACTGTTTCAGTCAAAATACCACATCTAATGGGTTGGAGGAAAAGAGAGAGACCATTTCTTCTTCTTTGTAATCCTACAAACAGGACTGTTTAGGTTCCAGGATTTCTACTGCTGGCCTTGCCACACAAACATCACAACCACATGCTAGCAGCTGTCACATGCACCAGAAAATTAAAATAGATAAAACAAGAGGGAGAACAGCCAGTTTTAATGTCAACCTCCCAGCTGCATGAGGTCTGGTAAGGAAGCTAATAAGCTATCTATGGCAATGGACACCTATGTTTGGAGCCATTTCAAAAAGGGAACTTTCAGAAGGGCAGCACCTAGTTGTTCAAATGTAGCAAAACCTCTCTAGCTTCAACAGTGCTTCACCCAGAGTTAAACACTGGAGCAATTTTATTACATGTGCATCCTACCCAGCTTGTCCACACAGTAACAGAACATAACGTTTGCTTCCCTTCTGAAAGTGCTCCAAATGTATGTGCGTCTATACCTTACGCGAACCTGGGGAAACACAGGCAAGATTATTTCTGTTCTTGGGAGTTTTTCCTGAACCATTTCTTACTCCGCAATATAAAGTCATTCCGTTTGGGAATTGAATTCCCTAAAGGACATTAACTCTGCAACACAGTAATGGTGCCTTTCGGGACAGCGAGCATGCTGCTCAGATTTTCTTTCAATCTAAATAATGAAAATGATTATTTGATGCACAACAAGGATTAGCAGTCTCAAAAAAAGTAGCCAAGACTGATTTCTGTTCTTTCCAACACACTTTTTTTTGTTTTTTTTAAATCTTAGTTCCTCTTATTCCCTTTTTAGTGCAGAAATTTGTACCTTGCTGATGAAGCTTGCTTGATCTATTTGTAACCACATAATCAGACGCAGGATTGCTAATCCCACGGGCAGATGAGATGGTCTTGAGGGTCACTAGCACTGCATTTTATTACACTGGGCAAGAAAGCAGCTACTGTAAAAGAAGTCATCTCAGGTGAAGTGTTTACTGGAGCATATATGCACAAGGTAGCGTTCAAAATTTCAGTCTACTGCCAAACAAATTCCCTCTTGCACTGCCTAAAAAGATCACTTATGACACCTCTAAAAAGGAGCTGATTAGTAAAGATATAGACACCAAGATAAACTTTTTTCTTTTTTTTATTATTCTGCAAAGCAATATGCACATCTTACAAACACAAAAATTAATCTAGGAGAGAAATGTAATTTCCAAATCAGCTATTAACCATCATGCAACAAGACAAGTGAAATGTAAAAAACAAAACAAAACAAAAAACTGAAAAAAATAGCCATCTTAACCCTACATCACCTGCAGAGAAGGGTAAAAAAAAAACAAAAACCACAACGAAAAACAACCCCCCCCAAAAAAACAAAAAACAAAACAAAACAAAACAAACAAACAAACAAAAAAAAATCAAGGCTCAGATTTTTCTATGTAATGCCAAAGAAGAATGCAACAGAAATGGCAGGTTTCTAACAAGAAAACACTTACAAATAGAATCAAAACTGATTCAAGTCATAGTTAAAAAGAAAAAGAAAACAAAACAAAACAAAGGAAAGATCAATATGATCCGAACAACCACTTTAATAAGAAGTTTTTACCCTTCTGTTTGGCTGCATTTAACTTTTGTACATTGTGCCTCAGTACAAGCCATTATTTCTAAGTATTACAGTCTTGGCTTGCTGGGTCTTCCTTCCCCCTTCCCCTCCCTTATACTGCAATACTAGGTACCAAGAGGTAAGGTAAGGCTGAAAAAAAGATACATACCCCCTTAACACTCCTCCCCTTGGATGGGTAGGTCACAGTCGGAGCTTTGATGTTTATCTCAATGCAGTTGTTGCTGGGTTTGACTGTAGGTATGTTTTAAAGCAGGCAGATTCTCTAATTACTGAATATAATCTCCATTAAAAATGTGGTTCCCCCAAGAAGTCAAATTGTACTTTCAAGCTTGGTTATTTCTCTTTGGGGCTTTTAGGGTTTTCACTGCAGTTTGCCAAAATACATCTTGTTTTTAAACATGATAACCAATGTGTGCTGTGGAAGTGTTTGGTTCTTACCAGCACTGACCAACACACTTGCTTTCCTCTCCCCAACTCATCAGTTCTCAATCACTTCTGAGTGGATCTCAAAGATGCGGACAAAGCAAACAGCTAGGAATGCAGAAGTTAGGAGCAGTCTAAATGCTCTTCGCTTTAGGCCTTCTAGCTACGTTTAAGTTTACTTCTTCAGTTTGGTAACGTTTTACTAGTCAACAGCAGCATAAGCTAAGAATGGAAGCCTTATTTATTGCCTGGACTCCAAACTAAATGGCTGTCTCTAAAGCTCAAATCTTATTGTCTCTGGGGAAAAAAAAAATTTGTGAAGTGACCGATACACCGTATAAGCAAATGAAACAGTGTAAAGGAACCATTTCCCTGAAGAAAAGTCAGATTATTTAAACTTGAAACATTTGGAAAATGCACGCAAATTAGTACAGCTCTCCAAAATAGTAAGGACCTCTCTGTGATGGGCTACAGAACACTCTAGCGCCCTTTTGGACGTGGGCTTATTGTTTCACATATCACACACACCGCAGAGCTAAACGTAGCAAAGGAAAAAAATAGATGCACCTGTTTACAAAGCTATAATGATGGTACCCGACAGGAAAGGGGGAAGATGGCATGAAGGGTTGTTAAGGCAACCAGTGAGATTTTAAAAGCAGTGGTGGAAGGTTCCATAGGAAAACCCCTGACTTGTGAGAATTTGAGAAGTTACTGGTGGATTGTTTGGAGAGAGACTGCAGAAGACCGCAATGGAAAATAAAGGTTCAGAATAAAAAGCACTCCAAGAAATAAGAACTACTTGGATTCCAGAATGGACACAGACCAATGTTGAGTCTATGAGCAAGGTTTCCTTCAGCTTATTCACCACAGGATTAGCCCACTAACTGCCAGCTTTGCCTCACCTGACAGCATTATATAAAAACTGGGCAAAGTGAATAAAACATTGTCATTTTCCGCTGCCCTCAAGAGATGGATGGATGGGAGGTCCCAAAAATGAAGCATTACAATGGTCTTCAAGGTCTTGTGCATTTCTCTTCCCTTTCTTATTTATACTTGTCCCCAGTTGCACAGAGCCTTAACTGATTACTGAAATGCATTTTTTTTTTTTAAACTTCACTTTCTGGAGACTGTCTAGAAAGCTTCTGTGCAAAGAAGTTCCTGGTTCAGAGGCTGTGCAAAGGAAGCTAAGTGAAATGCTTTCTATACAACCCCCCTGCTAATCAATGCTCTACCATTCAACTGGGCACGTGAAAAATGAAACTGAGCATTTTTCAATTAAAAAAAATGGGACTTGACTCCATTTTAATTCCTTAGGATGGATAAAAGCACAAGTTTGTCCTACCTACTGTTGTATTAAAGTGTGAATACGCATTTCTTTTTCAAAAGATCTAAAACTGTGGATATCTTTCTTACAAGCCAGGCGCAAATGGATAAAAAGAAAAAAAAAAAAGGTAGAAGCCACACCTACACATTAAACATGTTGTCAATCAGTGGCTTTGGAAATGCAGTGTTATATCAAAGGTGCATACTTGTTTCAAACACACTGTACATATCATTGGGCAAAAACAGAGATGATGGGAGGTTGGGTTTTTTTTTTTTCTTTTTTGAGACATTTGCAAAGGCATCTTACCCTGCCCAGATGCAGCTAGACAAAAATATCTTGCTCTGACTATATGTAGCCATATCACTAAACATATCTACACAAACATTCGGCTATGTCCACAGGTAAAGATTGAAAGATTCTGGCCGCACTACAATGCGGAACAAGTGCATCATCTGACCTGTTCTGAATATACTTTTATAAATATGTACAAATCAATTACAGGCACTTGAAATGTCTTTGGTTGGAATAAACCAACATTGCAAGATAATGTATTCACAGAGTGTTAAGACCCATTCTGGGTTCAGCAGGCAATGATTATGGTTCTCAGTCATTTTCGGTAAAAGGAGACGATGGATTATGCTTCCGACAAAGCAACCTAAAAACAAAACAAAACAGCTGATTACACTCAAACAATCACAGCCAACAATATTTGCACATTACTTATCTCCATGCAACTAGAATATCTGCCTCTGCCATCCAGAGAACTATGCTATGTCCAGGTTGGAAAGACTATCAAAATAAGTCTACTGATGCACTACAATTTGCAATCATCAATCTGATGCTGTTTTTGAGTCGCTTAAAGTGAAGGTTGCATATAACTATAACTTTCTGCAAGGCCCTTGGCAGACGTTCAATTAAGGTATGATGGGATCTGATCTGCAACAACAAGAGCCACTTACATGTGCATGACAGGAGGCACAACTGTGCAATCAGGGATCAGATCTCAACTGCACCCTATTACCAGTGCAGGGGAAGGCAGGGATCGTGACCCCAGGTTCCCCCTACACTGGTAATTAACAAGCTGGGTGCCGGTGCACCTAGCTCAGAGTACCAGTCAGCTGGACTAGCAAGCCTAGCCTTGGGTGTGTTGTTCGTCTGATCAGTGCTGGCCACACATTCAATTTATGGCACAAAGGGAGCCAGCCACAAAATTATTACACATTTTGTGACTTATTCTCTGTTTAACCGTACCATTAATTGCATCAATGTGTGGCTCGGTTACAAACTAAGACACGACTGACGGGTTAATCATGTCTTAGGTATAACATCTACCAAAGGCCTTACAAAGTTAAGTGTAACCGTATCTAATGCTTTCAGCAAAACGCACCTCTAATCTATAATAATTAAAACAGCCTTACACCAGTAACAAAGTAGTAACATTAATTTCATTTGACATTGATTACACCCAAAAGAACTAGTTCTCGTATAACGAAGATTTCCCATCTTCTTTAGATAAAAGTATTAGGACCATTCCAAGCCGCACATTCAACGTTTTCACTTGAGCTTATAAAAACATTGCACAGTTTTGTACATACAGTGTATACGAGTTATACTTAGAGATACTTGAAAAGCCAAATCACTACTGCATTTAGTGAACTTCAGCTAATATTGCACACTCATACAATAAAAGTCTTAAGTGTAAGGAGCTACAATCACTGGACAAATACTCATTAAGCAAATGATCACCCTGTGGAAGTATTGAGCTACAGTGCTCCTTGAAGAAATGGTAATAGGGGCACAAAGAGGTTAAGTGATTTCCTCAAGGTTTGAATGCGGTAGTGGACAGAGGAATCCCCTGTGTAGTCAGCATTAATCACGGTATTTCATTTATGCTCTGGAAAGATTAAGATAGAAGGTTCCATGACCTCCAGGGTCTGGAAATGAATGCAAAGAACCAGGCAGCTTTTACAGCCTGCATCATGTTATGAGATGCTAGCATCTCCTCGAAAGAGGATCAAGTCAGCGTGTCTGGAGTCATGCACTGATAACGTCAAGTCAGTACATATAAAAGGATGCTTTCTTTCTGCCCTGACAAGAGTCAATGCTGTGTGCATCATCATAGCCAGACTTACTTTTTCAGGACAGAATTCTGTATTGCTTTGCCTTAGTTTGCTTGGTCTACCTTTAATAACTGCATAGCAGAACATTGTAATCACCATCACAAAGAGAAAATAACTGGTATGCATGAGATGCAAGTTTATTAGCGAGCGATCATCCTGCAAAGAGAAACAGAACAGTTTACTGATTCTGTACACAGAGAAGGTGTTTCACATTCAAGTGGCATCTAAGCAGATAAGTGGAGAATTCACCTCTCCAATCTAGCTTCTTTTCTCTATGCGTAGGATATCCTTCACATTGCAAAAGCACAGCTTAAAGTTTAAGGTAGGAAGCAGCCCCATGTTTCAGCACTTAAGATGGACCCAAATTTTCAATTAGGGTTAAAATATTTGATGTAGATTAGCAACTACTTTAATGTAATTTTACTGTTCCTACAGTCGTGCACACCCTCCCACTAGTAGCACCTTTTAAGCAGCTGGATTTGAAAATGCAGGCCTTAGCCAACAAGGCTGAGAGGCAAATATGGTATACACAGAGGGTGCCATGAAATGCAGATGTCTCCATCAGAGCTCTGGCCAAGCAGTGCCACATCACTCACTAGCTTAGGATCTGAGGAACAGAGTACCTTATCTAATTAATGCGATACCAGACATACATTCGTGAGAGCACAGAAAAGCAGGTGGAACTTACATCTGGAACTATAACAGTTAGCTTGGGATTTAAAGCATGATAGACCTTTCCAATGGCTCCTTTGTAACACCAGAACGGGTTATAATCTTGTGCATATTTTGTATTCGAGTCCCTGGCTGTAGTAAAAATCTTGTACCAGAGTGTAGCATTGCTGTATGTTTCTGGGACACAATGTGGTGGCTGACTGGAAAACAAACAAAAACAGACAAATTGCTATTTTCTGTCTTGTATGGGTAACTTTCAACATGTGCTTAGACCCATTCTGCCTTTCAGCTGTGTTAATTGTTGCTTTGTTCAGAATCATTCATAACGTAACAGCAGAATATAACTGCTTAAGCAAAGACAAGTTCAGAGCTGGTATCAGCCCACATCTTTCACTGAGAACTGTTCCAGGCGTCAGCCAACAATAATTTATGTACTAGTTTTTAAACATATCAGTTTCCTTTTTTTATTCTGATACAGCTTGAAGGCAAACCCTATTTGAGTTCTTGTGGCATATGAATACTGCTGTCAGGGTGTACCTTCTTTGGGAGATAACGAATCCTGGTACACGTACAGAAGACCAACCTGTCGCCACCAGAAATTGGGTGATGTGACTCTTTAAGAACCCAACTCTCAATCTGCTTTTCATTTCTATTTTTTTGTACACGTGGATTTTATCACCACTGTTTATTGAATGAAGGTCTGTGTTACTTGCAGAATGGGTACACTGCAGACAGCTGCTGTATAAGGTTCCTCACACTGCTTCCACCCCACCTCTGAAAGTGTCTTTATGTGAGAAAACCTGTCACTCGCTGACATACGTTTGAGCCTTGTCTCCTCATTGCACGTCAAGAAAGGTGGATCTGTTAGGATACTTGTTTTTGCCACGTGACCATCCTTCTACTGGAGAAAACAGGCCACATTCCTACCAGTCACCAGATAATAATCAAATTTTGGTCACTAGTAACCTGGACTTTGAACAAACTAGCAATTTAGGGATGATGATAATAAAACCTAGTTTTTAACATAGTGGTTTTCACTGATAGATATAAAAGGATCTAATACCCTTACTTATGCTGCTCAGAAGACACCAGTGCTCAGTTTTCACTAGTTTTTTGATAACAGAAGAGTTTTTCGACTCCAAAGAAGTCAGAAAGACCAAGACAGGTCAGAATGTTTTTGACGCTATAGATTCCCATTTGAAATCTCTTGTGAATCACGTCTGCACACACCTGGCAGTGTCCCATTGTGTGGTACCCTTGAGAGGATTTCAGGGTGCACAGCATCCTGGCTGAGAATCAACAGATTAGTATCTCTAGGAACATTTAAACACTGGATCAGATTGCCTAGAGAGAGGGGTAGAACCTCCGTCACGGGACGTTTCTGAGAGCAGATTTAGACAAACATTAGTCTGGAACAGCTTAGGCAGGGATAATTCTGCCTTGAGCAGTGGGTTGATTTCCTGAGGCCCCTGCCAGCCCTGTTCTCCTGTGATCCTAGCAAAGGAAAAGGGATCACCTTACTTTCACAGTCAACGTTGGTACTCATGGGCACACTCAAGAAAAGCATCCAACTCATTAAACAGAAGCTGCTTATGTACTGCTAAGAACAACAGTTTAGAGATTCACTTACACTGTGACAGGAAACACATTGCTGGCTGCTGTGACAGTCATACAGGTTGTGAATACCACCTGCTCACAGTGCCCATGGAGAACACAGTCGTCTGAATTCCAAGCAGCAGGCAGGGTGAATGTAATGTTTATCTCCTCGTGGGATTCTCTGCCTTTTAGAATAAGAAAAGTGGTTTTTGTGCTGACAATGGAAACAGTGGCAAGTACGAGGATGAGGAGGGCACACAGCTGGGCCCAAACCCAGCCCTGTGGTGGCATTTTGGGGCCATCGTTCACAGGGAGCAGGAGTAAATTGAAAACAGCTCCCATTTCCGCTGAACACCCTCCCCCCGGCAACCACACCCTTATTCAACACAATTACACCTGCATCTGGTATTACCACAGTCATCTCTTTAAGGCTTTGATTTTGGAAAGTTACTTCCTACAAATACCAAAATGCTAGCCTTGTTCATCCCCAAACCTGGACTTATCACCTGCTTTTCCTAGAGTTTCATTTTTACTTTGAAGAATTCCATACAAGACATATAACCAGCCAAAGACAAGTGCCTTCACATACTCAGCAATGCCAGCTGGCAGAGCCCAGAGATCACCACTGGGGTCTCTAAGAGGTGATACAGTTTGGTTCACAGGGATGAATCTGTAACTAACACAGTTTAAATTCAGGTGGCCTGAATCAAAACTGTATTATGTAGCTTGGGAAAGAGTTAAAGAGAGATACTTACCATCAGCAATAAAGATTTTCAGCTGCAGCATGTTTGCTACAGGATCTCTTAGATACAAGCATCTTAATTTCACAACACCATTATAAAACCCCATTAAATACCTGCAGGGGCTGACCATAAGGAGATGCTATTTACCATTTCTAGTGAATCCCTACAAATGGATCTGTCCAATTGGCCTCACTGAAAAGTTTAACAATCATTACTTGCTGCTTTTCAATTGCTCAACTTCAGTGCCTAGGAAGTCTGTGTTATATTTTGTTTAAAGCACAAACACAACCTTTCTAGTTTGTGTACAGCTGGATCTGTAACACAGAAGGAACTAAATCTGACTGGGGAGCATCCCCAGCGCTTCAGTGTATACTGGAGTAGGGGACTGCTAAGGGAGCATGTAGCAGCTTCTTTCAGAGAATTCTGCCGTTTTAAAAAGTCTCTCCGGTAAATATTTTACACTGCAAAGCATCATCCTGTTAATCAGCAGGCCTACATGACCCCTACCATTCTGAACCTAGAGGAAAATAAAACAAATTTATCAAAATCAACCGTGTAGATTCCCCTACTACATGACGACAACACTGGCAAGGCAGATACATTCTAGGAAAAAGATCCATTTCTTCATAAAAAACTGGATGAATATTATACTGTTTTCCAGCACTTCTAATATTATAAACACAGTTCAAATATTTACATTTTGCATACCTGAAAGTCCAATTTGGTGCCCAAAAATTGTGGAGCTTAAATGTGTGACATTACGGGAGTATCCGCCAAATGGTTTGAGTGGGTCCAGTGTCAGAGTGATTGTAACAGAGATGTTTATTGGGCCAGAGTCCTCAAGGGTCTGTGGTGACTGTGTAGAGGATCTGGCTTGTCCACTAGTTACTGTACTTTCTGGAGTTGTAGTGTCGTTGATGAGATGCTTTAAGGTTTCATTTTCTGATATACAGAAGTCCAAATCATTAAACCTCAGGAGGAACGTATTCCAGTCCTTAAAGCAGCAAGATTTATATTAGATTAGTGAGGTTAGATGAGGCTAGCAAGAGTTTTAAATCTACACATCACTGAAATACAAATTCAATCCAGCCCCAGCATCAGTGAATAGAAACACGTTCATTGAAATCTCAACAAGACATACCTAGCATTATTTATTAAAATCAAAAGCTCATTCTGATTCCCACCACACTCCAACAAACTGACTCTCTTTAGAAAGAGACATACCTAGCTTTATTTGTTAAATCAAAAGCAATTCTGATTCCTATCACACACCAACTGACTGTCTCTCTATTTTCAAAGCTGTGGGAAGCCCAGTATAACTACTGTACATATATAGCTGAAGTAATGTTGGTACAGGCATACCTCGGAGACATTGCGGGTTCGGTTCCAGACCACCGCAATAAAGCGAGTCACACGAATTTTTTGGTTTCCCAGTGCATATAAAAGTTATGTTTACACTATACTGTAGTCTATTAAGTGTGCAATAGCATTATGTCTAAAAAAACAATGTACATACCTTAATTAAAAAATACTTTATTGCTAAAAAAGGCTAACCATCATCTGAGCCTTCAGCGAGTCGTAATCTTTTTGCTGGTGGAGGGTCTTGCCTCAATTTGTAAAAAACGCAATATCTGCGAAGCGCAATAAAACAAGGTATGCCTGTATATCCAACACTGACTTATTCTACCCAAGAACTCTATTCTGTTCCACAGACGATACAAGGAATTGCCATTTAAGCCTCTCTCATGTCCATAATCCCAATTGTGGAAGAATTTTGTAAGTTAACTTGCACCAAAAACAAGAGAAGCTCCATGAACATACCGTTTGTCAGAACATCATAAAAAAAGATAAACTCCATTACTAGAATTAATGTAGCCTCCTAACAGCCACTCTCTATCTCCTCATCAAATTAATTAAAAATGAAGACTATTCTTTATATAAAGGAAGCACCCACTTACAGCCTGGAGATAAACAAAACAGCGATGTAAACTGAGATATTCTGGGTATTTACTTTCAGAAAAACAGGTTAATTCTGTTTGTTAAGGCAGCGTATGCCAACACTAAACCCAAGAACTGCGTACGTTGCATACACAGGCTGTTCATACTATACCTCTGTCATCTCCGGAGACTTGATCTCTTTGATTTTAAAGAAGTAACCCAGCGTCAGAAAAGCTATTGCCATGGCGCTTACGCTGATCATGAAGACCACAAGAGGAGGTCGACTACTGATATAAACCTTCAGGTTCTCCAAAGGGTTTATGCAGAACATTATTCTGATTAGATCCGCCTGAAAGTAAAGAAAAGTAAAACCAAGTGACATGGGGAAGAAACGTCTCTTAGTGTCAGCCAATTAACAGGAAAATGCAGTCACACTCACTGAAATAAGACCCAGTTAAACAGTTGTAAAATATGATCTGTGTTGCACTGTTCTGTTTGGAAAACATAAAAATAAGTCTTAAACAGAGGCGAGAGAAACCACAGCTTTAAGAAGTGCCACACTCCCAACCGATACAACTTCTAGCAAAAAAAGGAACTGAAAGAACACCACCACCACTTGCAACAGAATCAGTACTTCTAATACAAGCTTTCTATCACTGCCAGCGAACGGGAACCTGTTGTTCATATAGCTCACTTCATTTGCTTTCTTTCCCAGCTCCTGTTAGGAGAAGGCCTGTGCAACTACTTTTGGATCCCATTCACATGTACTTGAATTAGTAAAATTACTACATAAATATGATTTTAATGAAGCCTGCAGAGCAGGGTCTGCAAATTCCCAGTTGAACCCCTGTACTTCCATGCTGGAGGCCAAAATCTAAAAAAGTCATTAAACACCTGTCTGTGTCAAGTGTGAAACCGATGATGGCACTGTGCAGTGACACCAAACAAATGTCATTTCTAAAATGCTACTGTACTGTGAAAAGTGACAAGGTGAAATGCCTCGTGAAGGCATGAAATACTTGCATCTTGGTTAAGTGCATCCCAAATCTGATGAGTGCATAAAGAAGATAGAATTTTTCCAACATTAAGACGTGTAAACTTGGATCTGAGTTGGGATGCAGCATTTCAGGCTCACACACGAAAGATTTTGTAAATGAAACCCCTAACAATCCTATTACTGAGTGAGCAAGAAGAGAATCCAACTGGCTTCTTTCTGTTGGTTTTGCAGGATCAACAGAAATATAAACTTACTCAAGTCAGTAAATAAAGATGGGACTTACACAGAGCATGGCTATTGAGTAAGAACTTTTTGGACTGGAGCTGCCATTTAATCCTATTGATTCTTCATTTCTTTTGAATGGTCTAATCTTTCCAGCATGCCAGTGAAGGGAACAAAGTTCTTCTGGAGTTCACTCATCTCCACCCACAAAGAAAACAAACAGCCAAGTGTTAAAGTGCAGCTCTGAGGCACCCACTCCAGAAGCTGCACAAGCGGGGAACAGAAAGCAAATAAAGAGAAACAGGTTTGCTTGATCTGTAGTCCTGTGAAAAGGTCTTTTAATCTCTGCAGCATCCAGAAGGACAGGACAGTTGTACTGTATATGCAAGCTCTGAAAGACACAGAAAAGTTGCTAGACAAGCAGCTCATGAGCATGGCACTGGTAAAGTTAATCCCCAGCTCTCAAAGGCTGAACTGAGAACGATTCCTTGATCAGTCTCATGAAGTCAGGGATTCTGCTCTCTGCACATGTACACCTTACTGTTTCTCGTTATAAGCACTTAGTCGATGCGACCCATACACTGCAGGAGGCCTGCAGCCCCTCTTTTTCCTCCCATGTATTCCTAATATTTTACTGACAAGGAAGTTTCAGTCCCTCTTTTCTAGGAAGAAAAAAAATTACATTGGATTTAGGGGAGGGAAAGGTTAGTTCAGTAAGGAGAAGGTTGAATTCCTGTGGCTACAGCACAGCACAGACTTACACACGCAGCTTCCCCCCCACTACAACCTCCTTGTTAAAAAAAGGAGTTATTTCACAGCACAGAGCTCAATCTCACTCCAGTGATTTCCAAGCACTTTCCAAAGACCAGGGACGCCAGGCACTGTGTCAGCATGAATCGCTGACAGCACTATAAGCATCCAACTCTAAAAATACTTAAGAGCATGGGAGTGTGGGATAGCAAAGGGCTGTAGAAAAGCAAGGGGGAAAAGAAGGTTAAGTGGACAGACATTACAAGACATCCCACCAGAGTGCACACCTCTGGCCAGACAAAGAAAAGCTTTGCTGCTAGCTTGGGAACAGGCACGAGGCAGGCACGAGAGGAGAATTGCCTCAGGTAACAAAATAAAGCAGCAATGGCCCTTACTTCCAAAGCTCTGTCTCCTATCTCGCTGTTGGCAGGATGTGATGCCACTTGAGCAAATGTCTGAAGTGTTCACCCTGCTTTAAAATCCTGAACGTTCAAGTTTAGGAACAGCCGAGATGCATGGCAACATGGAAACAGATCAAACAAAAAACCCACAAGCCAAGCTGGTTCAGCGAGTGGTCCCTTCTGAATTTCCTTTTCGAAAAACTAACACAGATGCAAGGTTTATTACAGCATTTAATCAAAGCGGGATGTCACCCAACAGCAAAGACAGCACTGCAGTTCCTAGTAAAATTAAGGGACTGCCAGCAATTTCATTAGAAGTCCCGTTCCCCAAGGGGTTTTACTCAGCCACAAAGACTGACGCGCTGAAAGCTACAATACAAAAAAAAAAAAAAGCATTAGGTCGATTCTTTATGTTACAGGAGCACCAGCTTTCAAGCACTTGTGGTTTAATATTCACATAAAACTGAATGGCTTTAAATGCAATCAGAAAGTGTCACTGCCTGCAATTTTCAAAGGCTAACAGGGCCCTTTGAGCATCTGGAAGGGGGTGCGGGACACACACATACACCTTAGGTTTTTAACATCGCTGGAACTCAATGCTCCCAGATTCCTTCCTACACAGATCAGTGCTCGAATAGGAATGTGCCTGGAAGACAGCACTCAAGTACCACTCCGTTTTAAAGAATTTCTAAGCACTTCTGTCAGCCTCGCACCAATATATTTGGAGGTGAGGGGGCACCACCTTTGTGGGACTGCTGCTTTGTAGCACAAAACCTGTGGCCACTATCAGCACAGCAGGAGCTGGGCACGGACATGACCTGCTGCACCTCTGTAGTTTATAGAGATTTGGGCAACGCCGACAGGGTCTTTGAGCAGTCCAGGCAAGTCTGGCTGGGTCTGGTAAGGTCTGGTTGGAAGCTGCCATCAGCTTCCCATTTAGAGAGCAGTTCCAGTTCCTTTTTATAACTGCTCCAGGCTCTCTGCGTGATTTTATGAGCTTCATTTAACTATCTTGTACCTGTTTTATATACAGTTACGCTGATGGACAGACATTAAGAATGTTTTTGCAAATATTTGCATAGTGCACTGACTTCCTCAGAGGAAGGGCAACGAACCATCAGATATCATTCTTTAATTATGCAAAGTATAGAAGAGACTCCAACACTGGCGCTGTGAGCAACCCTCAGCTTGTCCCCTCGACACCACCCCTTGCAAACACTTACCCCATTCTACAGCCCACACTAATCTCAAGGCCAGCAGAGCATGCAAAAAAACAAGAACAAAAAATCCAAAGGGCCTTGCTTTTGACAGAAATTCCAAGAAAAACAGCAATGTTATATCTGAGTTAAGGTTGAGGGCATGTGTCAGTAACTACAGGAAAAAAAAAAAAAAAAAACAGCGCAGAAGGCATAGCTCTCCTTGAACTAGACATTACAAGGCCAGGAGATATAGAGCTGAGGTTACAGTTTAAAAAAACAAAACCACCAAAAACAAGAGACACTGGTAAGGGTAAAATCAGAATCTGAAGCCAACAGAGCATCAGTAACTATCTTGGAAGGCAAGAAGTCCAGGAAACGGTCATCTGTTCCCTGGTTGCAACACGTTCTTGGCACTGGTAGAACATCAAATATAGCAAGCTCAAGGGAACACAGTTTTCAATCCTCATGAATAAATATATGAAAACAGTTATGAAGGTAGAACACTTGAAATGAGTCTTTCAAGAGGACCTGGCAAATAAGGGGAACTTGATGTTTCCTCCAAAAACACAAAATGCTAATAAATAAAGGTAAACGTTAATAAATTTCCACTTCTTGGCCTTAACATCCAAGCAGCTACATTCACAACCCCAAACCAGCACATCACATCAAAGTAGGTACCAAGATTAGAATGCCAAATCGCTAGGAAGAAAAGCAAAATATAAATTTTAAACATGGAAGCCTGTCAAGGTGTTCTATAATTTTAAAATGATGTGTCCCACCAGTTATAAGCTTCTCCTAGAAAGCTAGAAGATGAAAAGCCACTTCTTTACAAGCATCATTTTCCTCTTTTGCTGTGCATAAAAACTATCAGTCTAGATATGAAAGATTAAGATATTCTGAAATATTTGAAGGAGAAAATAGCTATGAGAGCACTGTGGCCAGGTCAGTCCAGTTCTGATCTCCCTGCTGGTCAGTGTCCCTTTAAGACTTTACACCTTTACATCTGAACTACTCACTACCTCTAAAAAGCCTGTTACCTTAGCTGTACAGTGATGCTGAGGTTTACCAGAAGTGCAGATTTCAAATATGTCCCACAGCTAATAATCCAATGGCATTTAGGAAAGCAGTCACAGTTGCATGAAAATAATGTTGTGTGACAAGTGAATTGCGACTCTCCTAACAAACCAGCCGTAAGTAACAACAACACAAAAGCACAGTGTTGATCTCAAAACCTTCACAATCAAGAACAGGAAACATCAGTAGATTGAAAAAGATAAAAAAAAAAAAAAAAAAGTCCCAACCCACTGGTCTAATAAATTAAGTGAGATTTTATTTTCTTCAAGGCATGACTCAAGGGTAGAACATCAAAATTGCTAAAATTAAACCTGCAAAAGATCAACAGCTAACACTGCCTGTTGTAATTCTCCTGAAGAATTTAGCAGCTTCTAAAGCATACAACAGTCCCTCCAGGTTACAGTCAAGACTGAATAAAACTATTTTTAACTGTTACCTAGAGCCAGATTGCTGAGCAAAATAAACTCATTTTCCCCCCCAAATTTGAAACAGGCTAGAAGGCCCCAGAGTCCCCAAAACTTTAACTTATAAGACACAAACCAAAGAAAAGCACAAGTCTCCAGACATGCACAGGCTTCCCTTTTATAAAATAATGGGATTTTTATTAGTGGAGTCAGAATTCCTAACTTTTGAAATAGACTTCTTTCAGCGATAAAAGTAGCTTATTAATCAACTTTTTCTGTTCTAATGGGAATTTCAAAACAACTTGCTACCACACTAAGAAATCTGGAATTGGGGAAAAAAGGACATGTTTCTACCATGTTTTCCATCCTTCCACCACTGATCACCATGGGGCAAAACTAACAACTTCAGAATTTGCTTTAGCATATCCTTGAGGAATCAAAATGCCCCTGAAAGGTGAAAATAAATAGCCTACAACTCATATCAGTAACAGAGAGCAGAGCTGCTTTCTACAGACATGCTCAGAGCCTGACCCCAAACCTCTGGATTTAACGTTCAGCACAGATTTCCCAGTTTACCTCCCACTCCTGCCCTAAGTGCCTCCAAAGTAAAGGTGAGATTAGGAATCAAGAAAAAACATGCATCTGCCTTCCTTAACAAAAAGAGGAAAAAAACCTGAATTCCCAATACCCAACTAAGATTCTTATATCACTTCAACCTAATATAAGGCAAAATATAGATTCACCAGTTTACAGTGCACCTAAGCAATCAAAGATGATGTTCAGACATACATTTAATCCAAGGCCCTACCAGATTCTTTTCATATCTCTTTGCTCTCATGAATCACAGCCTCTCTCGATTAAAATGAAAGTTAGTACGCCATTAGAAAATTAGCAGTTTGATCATGAATTTCCAAAATGATCCCCCATAGCTCAAACTCAACTAGCTTTCATACAGGTCCATTTAGGGTGCTCTGCATATAACCTTGTTAGGAATAATCACAGTTGCAAGCCTGCTATGAAACCCATGAACACAGACTTCTATAGACTAAAAAAGGCACAGAAATAAGAGACCAGGTTAATGCAGGTTAGTTAAAGGAAGGTACATAAGCAGCATTCATCTTGAGTCTCATACCTATAAAAAGTAGAGAGAGAGGTAAAGTGACTTGTTCACTGCTACAATGAGGTTTAGGGTCAGACTAGAGATTAAAACAAGAGCATTAACATTCCTGACCCCTAACTCAATGTTGCAACAACTAAAACACAGCTCTCTGAAGACCAGTGAGCTCAAATGGTTTTCAGAGATAATTAGGACAGAAATTTTAAAAATCAAGCAAACAAACTGAATTAAAAACAGAAAGGAGAAACTGGTATGCCTCTAAGCAAGACAGCCACATGTAAGGAAATTCCAAACATATAGCATCCTTCTCCAACTACAATGTGCTGGAGTCCAACACCTTGCACTTAACACAATCCACAATCACCTGAGAACTGCAGTCAGTAGAGCATCGTATTATGTAAAAAATCTTCCTAAAATTAGAGACTGAAGTAACATTTATGCAAAAATTTTGGTAAGTGCAAACAAGTTCTTGCTATTAAAATGACTTGAAAGAAATCAGTGCATTTGAAGATTCAGGAAAAGGGGGTGGGGAGGAAGTTATGAACCAAGGGAAATGAAAGTGCCCGAGGAAACCTTCCCAAAGTAACTCAGTGGACACAAGCTTCTGAGTTTAACAGGGAATAAATATGGTTTAAAAACACCCAGCTGTACAAATCTATCTATCTAGCGATAGACAGACAGATACACACACATGCTTGAAAAACTGGAAATTCTCTCCCAACAGAGTTTTAAGTTGTTGCAGTTTCTGCACTATGACTGACCAAAAAAAGAAGAAAAAAAAAGGGCAAGTCTGCATGCAGGACTGACTTTTATGCCTCTAATGTTGCTTACAACAACCCTGGGTTAAAAGTTGCTTGGTTAAATACCATTTACCATAAGCAGAAAGTGTCATGATACTGGAGCAGGACGATTTTACAGTTTGAAAAAAAAAAAAATGTTTTGCCTGATTGTTCATTATCAGGACAGTATAGAAATGAGAAGCCAAAGAATAAATTAGTTTTAAAAAAAATGGAGCCAGCGTTATACAACCTGTGCATTTCCTACCAAGGAACAGACATTCTTCAGACCATATGCTGAGAACTGTACAAATTCCACATGCCTTAAATTTTTGGGAAAGCTTCCTAAAAAGCATTGAAAAAAAGAAGAAAAAAAAAGAAAAAGCGTTTCACACAGCTCAGTAACCAAAAGCCTTTTAAAATGACTGGTTTAAGGAGGTTCAGATGCAAATACTGATTTTATTAAAGGCTACACATTAAAAAGTACGCAGCCTCAAAACAGCAAAAAAAAAAAAAAAGTTAGCAGAAGGCTCCTCTCCTGTAGGCTTTTAGTTTTCTAATGAGACCCTCTGTGAGACTGAGAGACCCACGCACAACTTGAATCACAACAGACAGTGACTGGCAGATCGAAGAAACAGCAGCTTTACCCGACGTGGCAGAACGGCACCATGGAGCCAGCCAAAGAAACAGGCTGGACAGTGCAGCCCACAACCCCAAAATGGACCGAGATGAGCGGCTCAGCAGCTGAAACTCAAAGATAAGGACGACAGCCCAGAAGATGTTAAAAAAAAAACAAACAAAAAAAAAAACCATCAACCCTAGAACTCTTGGTTCCAAAACAATATATTTTATTAGACTGACTAGGAAATCACAAGAAAACTGTGCTTTTCCACCAGCTGTCGGGCTCAAAGCCCCTTAGCCAGGCTCTGGGAAAAGAACAGATGGCACAGGATGGGGAAAAGTCCCCGTAAGTAGGAAATAAACGGCATTTTTGCCCAGGGGGAGCTGAAGATGCAAGGCTGTCTCCCTTTGGGTCCATGAGAGCATCCCGACAGCTTGCAGAAAAGGACGCTTTTCTTGCAGTTTCCCAGTTGGTCTCATTTTGGAACCAAGAGTTGGAGTTTTTTTGCATGTCTCATCCGAGACCCACACAGCGACCCTGGGACACCCCTGAAAATAATGCTGCGACACAACTGAACTGTGGCTCTCCTAACAAAGCACCCCTCAGTCACAACAATGCAAAAGCACAGCGTCGATCGGCGAAGCGTCCCGCGGGCTTCACCTGAAGATCGAGGCAACCGCTGCCATTTCAAGTGGTTAATCCTCAAGTCCCGCAGGCCAGCCAGTGCCCCCGCCGAACGACGGCTAGCCACACGAGTCTGAGGGAAGCGGCGAGGAGCCCAGGGCTGCACGAGCTCCCGAGGTCCCGCTCGCCGCTCAAGGCCGACCCTTCCCAAAACACGACCCGCCGGCTCTCGCAAGGACACACTGAGCCGAGGAAGCGCTCCAGTAGCTTCGCCCCACGCGCCTTCCCAACTCCCCGGCCCTTGAGTGCCAGCAAGCAAGAGCCCTAATGCCTTTTTAACAAGAAAAACCAAAACACGCCGTTCCCATTGGGGGCGGGCAACTCTGCTCCTGGCAGTGATGCCACCCGCCCATTGCACACAGGCCGGGGAGGGGAACGACATCCGTATGCTCCCACATCCGTACCTAGCACCTGGCGGGGAAGGGGAGGGGGAAGGGCCGGGTGTACCCCCCCACAATGGAGGGAGCCGCCTCGGGCGCTTACCGGGCGCGGGCGCGGCCCGGCCGGGCTCAGAGGCGGCGGGGGGACCGGGGCCGGCTCTGCACCATGCTCCCGCCCGGGACCAGGCCGCTCGCAGCGCCGCCGCCTCAGCCGCGCCCGCCGCCGCTTCCGGGGACGCAGCCGTCACCTCTGACCCAGCCCACTGACGGGCGGACGAACGAACGGACGGCGGCGCGGGGGGGACAAGCTTCCCCGGCGGCCCGCAACGCGGACCCCGCCCCGTCCTCTGTGACGTCACAGGAGGGGCGGGGCCGCCGAACGCTGCAGCAGGGCTGCCCCACGGGCCTTTGGGGGGCGGGTCCACAGCGCAGCGGGCTCGGGGGAAGCCCCAAAATGTTGCAACTATTTTTTTTTGGTGGGGCGGGTTGCAAGGGAGGGGCTCCGCTTGCATTTTGACTCTCGGCCGTTTATCTGTTTAAAAGAGTATTAAAGAGAGCCGCAAGACAGCTGTAGGGCATCACCATTAAGTCTCTTCGTGACTCTTGCAGGGACTCAGCAACCCTAAGGCCACCGCTGCCCGGGCCCTGCAGCCCCTGCCCGGTGCGGGTGCCCCAAGGTGGTGCCTTGCCTGCTCCGGGCATCTGCCGGGGGTCACCTGGGAGTGGGGAAAAGGGCTCGTCTCCCACCTAGGGTAGACATTGTAGAGGACGGTCCGGTTCTCCTCGACTGATATGAAACCGGGTGCCTTTATGTCCTCTATTTGTCTCTTAAAGAGGAAAAGATAGTAGACTGGGACTTGAGATAGAAGACATAAGGGCGTTGGGTTTCCTAGTTCCTCTTGAAGCCAGGACGTAAAGGCACTGGGTTTCATATCAATAGAGGACAGAGTAGCAGAAAACCAGAATGACGGCCACCCTATTCTTACCTGACACAGCGGGTCTTGCCCAGCTTCGTCCCAGCACCACTGCTGGGCCAGGGAAAGAGATGGCCCTAAGAAACCCCTGCCTCCTGCATCCTTCCTGCACCATCGCTCATGCTGAAGATAATGCACAGCTCCCTTCCTGCTATACCTAAAGACCATTCCTGCAACCGCCCAAGTGAGGAGATGCTGGCCTAACGCAGGGCGGGTTTGTATCACAATAAAGCCTTTGTGTTCCATTAGGTTTTGGATTAAATCCGGCTCTGGCATAGGAGAGGGCAGCTTTCCAAAGTGAGCAGAGTCCTTGTGCCAAACCCAGACTTGGCTCATTTGTTGCTGGAAGGGGAATGACACTCTAGGCAAAATCAATCGGACGAGGCTTGGTTTCAGAAACCTCAGGCGAGTTGATGCGTGCAAGAGACAAAGTGAACAAAGTCATCCTCTTGGGAAAACTTTGGCAACACTCAAGTTGTTATCCCACCTGCCTCAGCCAAAGCAGAAACACAGCCCCTAGCAAACTTTCCAGTCACCTACAGGGTGTGTTGGCCAATTAGGTTAATTCACAAATTGTTGCTTCCTGCCTTCAAATCATTACAGTGTCAGAGGATTAATTTGTTTGGCAGGTTTTGCAGCTGGAGCTAGCCAACCCAAGAACAAAGCTCAAATCAGGCTAGACAACAACCTAATTCCTGTGCTGACCTCCAGAAAGTTTTGGGCTTTATTGTACCACTTTCTTTCAAAGTTAATTATCTCCACCATAGCGCTTCAGAAATGAAGTCCCTATGGCCAGCCGCCAAGCGTGAGCGAAGAGAATGGGCACATTGGTACCCCACCTCCCAGGCCAGCCTCGCTTGCTTCTCAGGAAGCAGCTCCCTATGGAAACCCTCATTGCCATAGTATCTAAGTTCCAGATACACAGGCTAGGAATTTATCCCTGGACAGGTCGTGCCTTACATCTTCACCCCCACCTAGACGTAGCCAACGCTTGAACAACTACTTCGGTCTCAAAGAGCAGTTCAAGCTTCTCCTTTATCAGCAACATTGAGGATCTCAGTCTAGACCAGTGCTTTTCAGCCATTTTTCAATTGCCGACCCATAAAAACATTTAAAACGGAGGTGCAGACCACTCTAAATCCTAAGTGTGGCTATTCACATACTTTTAATTCATCAGTCATCTTTGGCAGATGCCTTAGACGCAGTCTGCAGAACCCCCACAGGTCTGTGGACCACAGGTTGAAAACCACTGCTTTAGGCAGACTCTTGTTTTAATCGTGCTATCAAACAGACCTTGTTCTGACCAGGGTTAGCACTGCTCAAAAACAGCAGCAGATGACAAACCTCTATTACAACGGGGCTCTCCGTGCTGCTCACACGTGTGTCCGCAAATTAACGTGCGCAAGAGTGCAAAAACTGTTCCTTCAAACCCACCTGAAAACTCTCCAGCAGTTCAGTATTGTACTATGAGGTCACAGAATGGCCATGTCATCTAACATCCCTAAACACAGTTGGTGCTAGCACACACCAGTGATTCAGTTGAGATTTTTATCCTCGCCGAGGTGGTCAGAAATCAGGCCAATGCATTACCACAATATGGAGTGCAGATATGCCATGCTTTTTCTGGCCAATTAAGGAATAAAGCTGATTTTCCAACAAAGAAGTCCTACAGGTTCCTATACCAGAAGGCCAGAGACAGCGAATGGGACAAGCAGAGGGTGCCAAAAGTAAAAAGAGGCCAAAAGAAATGCATGTCATTTGGGTATCAGAACGTTTTCCTTCTAGATGGCCAATTTATTATGGAAGGGTCATGACTCGGCTCCACCTATTGAAGGAAGAGATCCACATTTCCATCTTCCCCTAATGACTAGCACCACGTTTGCATATTGGAATCTAAGGCCCCTTTCAGGTGCACCACTAACCTTCATCCGAGCTGCACAGCCATGAGGTAAGAACATATGCTAGAGAATTATTTGTGAACATCGACAATAGTTGGGCAGAATCACCGACCAACGCATTTAAACAGCAAGATTCAGTTATCATTAACGCAGTGATCAGATGAAATCAGTGTTTTTTCCATAGCTTGACCAGCTCTTATTGTGAAATATTTTCCCTGATGTTCAGATGACTTTTCTGATTAATAGAGATTTTCTGACATTAAAATGGTCAGAGAAAAACCTCTAACTACATTTTATTGCAACAGGGGGAAGAGGAGGAGCCTGTTTTCCCTGCATTTCAGAGAATTATTTTGAACTGATCAGAGAATAAAATATTTTCATTACCAAGTACTTGCTCCCATTTCCTACTCAAACTGTGGGGACTTGTTATTTCACCAGTAAAGTAATTCCTGCAATACCCAAACTGGGCCAATACTAAAATATATATAATGCCCCCCCCCCCATTACTTTCTCTTCTGGATTTCCACTGTATCATGTCCCTTTCACGTCTGTCTCACTACTATCACTGGGACAGGAATTACTGTTGTTATTTATCTGGAACAGCGCAAAGCGCACTTACTGGCACTGTATTTGCCAACTTAACTAGCTTACATTTACATTAGACAAACTTATTTTACTGTATATCTGTGGGAAAGGAAACTAAGACATTTGCTTTTAAAGTTTGTTTACACGTTATTAGGCAGCCCTGTTTCCCAAGCACCGGATCAGACCCCAAATTCCCATACGAGACTGGAATTGTACCAACAGTTCCAACACTAGTCGCAGGTGTGGCTGTGGGTAAGTCATAACCTTTCCACCTGGTTTCCAGTTTGTAAAGTGAGAATGGTGTTAATTATCTGCCTCATGGAAGATCTGAGGATTAATGTCTCTGCAGGTATGCTGGTGATTTGATAACAAGAAAGCAAGCAAACAATGAAATAACTTAGCTATAAACAGACTGAAGAATAGCTATTTGCTACTTTTGAGTACTTCACACATGGTCTCCTTGTAAGAGCAAAAACAGTTCAGATAGTTGAGGCCTTTAGACTTTCAATTAGACAATGTTCTGACAACATATACAGTACTTGAAAGGCTAAGATTTCTCCCCCTCTACAAATATGAAGAAAAATATAAGTAAAATGTATATTAAACCCTAAATTAACAGTACAGTAAAAGCCAAGAGGAATTTTTGAAGAAGTCATTAACAAGGGCATTATGTACATGGTTTTATTTAACACAGCAATTTATACAGTTGCTAAAAGTTCGTTGGTTTGTTTGTTTTTTTAATGAAAGAAACAATGGTACCTGGATATTAGAATTAGCACCTAGTGTATGTAAAGAAAAGAGACTTGGCAGCATTGAGTACTGCAAGCACTGATCAAGTCTTAAACAGTCTAAGAGTAGAGCCATCAAGATACACTAACTACTCTTGAAGTAATTTCCTGTGATCAGCTGATTAAATCACTGCTTCATCTCTGCAGGGAATTGTGAGTTCCTAATTACCTCTGAAACACTAGGAATGCATAGTTCAAAAGGTTAAATACATCAATTTGACAGTTAAAAATAGGACAAATCACAGTTTTGGTCTGAAATTATTGCAGTGCAAATTTTGAAGTGTCTGCATTTTTAAAGCAGTGGAATACCGTGAAGAGGTAGGTAGCTCTTCCCCTTGATGGTAAAATTTAATGTTGGCTAACAACAGCCCAAGCAAAGGAAAGTATCTTCCGAAAACATGAAATATCACAGGTAGGCAAACAAGACACAGCAGACTAGATTAACTAGAAGTTATATAAAATGTTTCATTGGAATAAAAAATTATACTGTAAGGTTACATTTTCAGAAGAGTAAACCATTAGATTATTCTTCACACGGAAGGGTACACAATGATGTAAAGCTTTCGTAAAGTAATTAATTGTATTAACCAACTTGTTGCTCAGAGGCTTAGCTTGTTCACTTTCATCACTCAAAAAAAAAACTCTTGCTGAAGCCCAGAATAGTGCAATTTTGTAAAAAATTAATGTGCTCTTTCTCGCCGTTAAAGGCCGAAGCTCTCAGTAAAGCAGCGTGTAAAATATGAACGTATGATGCATACCTGGATTGTCCAGAGGCAGGCAAAGCATGACCCATCAGCGAAAGATGGCAAGAAGTTATAGGCACACTACTAGGAAAAGAAGTCTTACCACTGACCCAACTCCTGAGCCATTTTCCTCTATCGGTGATTCAAGTCTGTACAATTTTTTATTATTTTCCTCCCCTTTTAAAACTTGCCTCAAAACCTTTTGAAAAATGCCTGCATCTACTGGACAAAACAGGGTTAAAATGCTTAAAAATATTTAGATGTCACAGGGCTTTTAGAAAGAATGATTCTGAAGATTAAGAATACTACAATATTGTCAAGTTTGTACGACTTCTGACACTGTTAAGCTTTCAAATCTTAATTGCAGAAAGATTTTCCCTCTAGCTACTCTTTACCATCAAGCCTACTGATATGTATTAACAGTTACTTGCCCGCTTCCTGTGAAATTATTCAACTAAGAAGGTGCTAAAAACAGACATGTTCATATATTGTTTTGTACCAATTACACAAGATACCATGCAAAGTTGCAACATTAAACTTTTTAAACCTATTTACAATTCTACATATTATACAATATATCTTTCATCTTTACAACTATAGAATTAATTCTCATACTAACATGGGTACCTTTCCATTTCTGCTTTTTTTTTTTTTTTTTAAATAATCAGTTTAACTTAAATTTAAAATGCGTAAGTGCATGCTGAGAAGGAAGCTTTCAGGAAAAAAAGTTGTCAACGGACTAGTGTTGCTTAAAAATTACACTGGCTTGTGTAGAAAATTTAAATTCATTTGAAAAACCACAAAAGCCTAATAGAAACCTACTATGACTAAAATAAATACAGTTTATTACACACAAAACAAAAAGCCTGTACCTTTAAAAATGTACTGATTTAAACTTATTTGATATTTTGCCTTGAATTTATTCCCCTTTTCAAGCAGCTGTAGTAACAGAGGGGACAGAAAGGATTCCTTCTGGAGTGAATACTGATCATTTATTATCCAGCATAAACCTGAGGCTGCAATGGCGGGGGCAGCTTGTCATTCTCTACATTTTCAGAGTCAATAGCTGCTAAGGCTTGATTTTTTGGTTTAATCTCCAATGGATATTTGTCAACAATATCTTGAACTTCCTTGGTAATCCCATCAGTCCAATCAATGAGGTCTCTCTCAAGTTTCTTGGCTTCACTGACAATTCTTTCCTGTCTCTCATTCAACTGAGACAGGAGATCTAAGTTCTTATACATTTGCTTAACACCAAGGCATACATCAGGTGACCAGTTTTCAGATTCTTGCTTCTTCGGGGATGTCTGGCCAGACATGTAGCGATCAAAATCCTCCTGGCTCAAATTCAAAGACTGAGCATCTAGCTTTTCAATGAAGGCCACTGCACAGCACTAGAAATAGAAGAGAGTAAGTGTTAGTGCAGGCTGTATTTTGCAAGATGTAACCTATAGCACGCCAGTCTTTTTCTTTGGGTGTTCCAACAACCGGATCGCAAGTTTCATGGTTCAGTAGATCACCACACATTAATCCATCACGCTCCTCAGAAGCCCCTGTATGTGCCCTGCTAAAAAACAAAAAACAAGCCAACAAAAAAAAACCCCACCCAGAAGCAAACAAACCTCTTCCTTCCACCCCCTCCCCGCTCAAAAAAACAAACAAACAGGCAGCAAACAGCAGTGAGGGGAAACACAATTATGAAAGTAACTTAACCTTAAGAAATAGAAAGATCAAATGACAGCAATACAAGATCCAATCAGATCTCAGCTGGAGAGGCCAACTATACATATGACTGAATGAAGAAGTTTTGGTGCAACTAGTGGGTCACTGCATTTTGAAGCTGGACAGTAGTTTAAAGCATAGTATAGCAGAACAAAAATCTCAAGTAAAAATAATGACCCCCTCTTGAAAAGAACATGTATGATTCAAACTAAGCCTTAAGTATGGTTTAATAAAAATAATGTTTTCCTTTATAGCTGGACAAATTCCAGCCCAACTCCTAGTTTTGTTCAGCCCAAGGAATCCCACTTCCTCAGACTTGCAGAATATTGTCCCTTTTGAGCACAACGGCTTGATCCTGCAGATCTGTCATGATAAACACTCACAGACTTGAATGGAAACTCTGCATGTATAATGGTTGCATAATCAAGCCTCAGTAGTTCAAGAGTAGTTTGGCACTCAGGACAGTCTCTCAATATTGTTACATACTGGCACTTCCTCTTTTCTCAATTTTTTAAGACGTTCACATAAATCAAAACAAGCCTTATTTATTTATTTTTTTACTTCCTTACAAAATAAAAAACTTAAGAATGCAAGTGGGCAGAAGATCGGTCAGAATCAAGCCCTGAACAGTTTTTAGTCCTAGAAGGAAACCAGAGCACTGTTTGGTTCATCCAACCTTGGAAGGGAAAAGAAAAGCAGAGAAGATATGAAAGGAGGCATTACAGCTTGAGAACAGCAAAGCAGCACTTCATAAGAGGAATGACTAGACTTTTTTTCTTTCCTGCAATATTAAAAAATCTTCACCTCTCCTGGGACCACCTTAGTCAAACAGGAAATAACTTTTTAGTGTACAGCATCACTACTGTTCTTGTGCTTACCAGATTGGTAAAGTAGTAGCCATCTTCTCCTGTCATTAACCTGCTTGGATTACAGAAGCGAGTTATATACTGGATGTTTGACTGCAGACGGGGTGGGTTTCCCTTCAGAACGATGTATATAAGCGTTGGTAAGAAGTCATCAGCAGAAGCTGGCTCATTTTTTGTGATTTTTATAGCATTAAATATATGTTTGCTGCATTTGGTGATGCATGCTAATTTATCACGGGGAACTCGCTTTGAATCCATTTCAATAATATCTGTAAGATAAGAACCTTGAATTAATTAATCTACATATCAGACTCCCTTTTTAGCAAATCTATGTATTATAGTTCCCTGGTTACTCTACTTTGGTTTTCAATTTGGACTACACTTGATACCACATCAAAGCTATGTTGCTAATTTCAGAGCACCCCAAAAAACCTTATGAATTTATTCTCACAACAGCAAGGTGGAAAAACATTCCTATTTTACAGATGGCAAACTTCCAAAGCCCTACAAGTAGCCTGTTGGAAATTCAAAAACTGAACCCACCTCTGGCAGGGGCCAGGCCAGACCCTTACACCACAGGAAGGCAGATAAGAGGCCTCTGTAACTGATATTTGAATGCAAGTAGCACAGGGAGTCAGAGAGCAGGTCTATACTACTGGTGGCTACACTTTTGGCTTTGGTATAGGAAGGTTTCTAAATATGGAGAATAAAAATAGCATTAGCCTGTTTGTGGTTTAAGTCAACCCTAATGCAAGCCATTTTTAACAGATAACTCAACAACAGAAGCTGTGCTCCCTGGAATCTCTTGAGAATATGAACCAAAGGATGTGCCTGATCTTATTAGTTGCCAATGTACACAGGGAAGATATCAGGCAAACCTGCTGACAGGCACTCTGCGAGGTCCTGATTCAGCAATGATGCGACTACTCTCGCACTTAAAGAGAAAGCAAAGTAGAGATGACTTCATCCTAACACAGCTAACTACCTCTTTCTGCGTAATGGAACCATGGGCTTAACAGCATACCCACTTCTTACACTACCAATGAACCAAATGCAAGTTTCAGGAGCAAGATTAATTCATCTGCAAAAAAATTAATTTATCTTAATAATAAAGCGTTTCATATTCAGGATAGCAGATACTTGTTTAAAGCAGGAAACAAGCTCTATCCAAAAGCAGATAGTTGTACTCAGTGTCTTCAAAGCACTGACTTGTAATAGCTCATTTCTAGTCAAATACCTGTAATTGCTTTCACAACCATATCAGAGACTTCTGGAATTTCCTCGTTGACAGGAACGCATAACATCTGAGGAGTAACCCAATGTAAAGCCCTACACAGAGAAACAAATCTGTTGAGAATGTACACTACTCACACTTGCAACGATGACTTGGGACCAGTTGCAACAGATACTGCTAACAACTTTAGTTACCATATAACAGATGAGGTGTTTTCTGCTAAGAGGCAATAATCCTGTTATCAAATATATTTTGTCCCACTAGGAAAACAATGTTGTTGCATAGTAATGATAATAGGTATAGTTTTCTTGGCAACAAGCACGAGAAGATTGCCTGAGTAGTTTACCCAGCGGAGTTAATACCTTTTAAAGTCTTTTTGATAATGGAAGCAATCCATCAGTCCCTTTGGTTAATAAGCTTGACGCTCTTGCATACAGAATGCTGCTTTTATTATTGGCAGCCCTGATTCATTTCATGACTTCAGATTTCTAGATTATTTCAGAACAGAAACACTTACCTGATTCTCTTTTGCACAACAAGATCCTTCTTCTCATCATCTGTTGTTTCAGGGCAGAACACATATTTATACAGTCGAGTCATGATGTATTTTTCAATCTGATCCATTGCTTTTTCAACTCTTTCAGGGGACACTGAAAAGTAACAAACCCACCCATCAGAACATGGTAATTTAAATGGTTAACTGTTACAGGAACCACAGGATTGCTTGAAGACTTCATGCTAGTCAGCCACAATCACCAAGTCAGACTAAACTCAAGAAATTCCCTGCATCTGACCACAGCAGCAGCAAAGCTAGGCAAATATTCTTAAATTCAGTAAAAATTGATGCTCAAAACTTAATGCTTTAATTCTGCTTAGTAGAAGAAAGGAGAGTGTAGATGTTGCAAGATAAGGACACGTTCAGGTGCACAGCAAAGTGTGAAACTGGCGAGTAAACAGGATTGTCCCTTTAAAGAGAGGCCGAGTATTTTGGTTAAGAAACCTCATTTAGGACCCTGAAGGGATGACGTGCCCCCTTGTTAAATATCTTAACGAGAAAAACTAATGTACTTTGCTGTCAACTGTGGAGTGCCTGCCTTTGGGGAGGCAAAGCATGTGGACTTGTTACAAGGCTAGGAATGAAGGTATGCTTCCTGCAGTTAGCTCTGTGGAACTGGGACGAGATGTACATTCTTCCTTATGAATTTTAACTTTGGTTAAACTCAGAGGTATTTTTGTGATATGAATGGAGCTATGGGCATTTTGAACTTTCTACACGCTTCCACCTCTGTGCAACTATTTGGAGTCAGAGAAGGCTCATGTTTAAGAGTAATTACATGATGGTGGGTGTTGAACTATATTCTCATGGCATCCTATTTCAAGCATCAAGAATGCCACAGAAATAAATTAGATGTACATGACACACTCACTATAGGTTAAGGAATAAAACTCTTAGTTTTAGGAGAGTTGCCTTTGCAGGCCCATTTAGGTCTCTGCTCTATTTATAACTCTGAACATTTACTTTCCCTGTCCTTCTGTGGTATCACAGCTAAGGTGTGCTACTTCCACACACAATGCACTGGTGGAGCACAACAGTTTGGTTTTTTCCTGCTTTCTCTATTGTTACAGCTTTTAGAATTGCAGGAGCTGACAGAAACTTCAGTGCAGTACTATTGCTGGGAGGAGCTCTAAATGTAGCACTGACTATTAAACATTAAGTCTCATGAGGGCTCAGATGTTTGGTCTGATGGATGATGCAAGCAGCCCTCCCTCCAAAATTATACTGTCTCAGCAACAACACAAGAAAAAGAAATGCCTGCTACCTTTCCAGCGGGTCTGTAATTTCTCTGCTACATTTTGATAGAAGTCTTGGGCACATTCAGATTGTTCCTCAATACTTAATTCCTACAAAAGAAGACTGACCATAACTGAAAGGCAACAGTATCACACCAATTGTAAAGGGAATGTAAGTCACCTACTTATCCTTTCACAGAAAAGGTCTAACATCAGCAACAGAACTATAGAACACAAATTCATCACAAGCAATACCTTTGGGTATGTCGCTTTGTCTCCAATATTGAAGACTAATTTGAACCAAGAAAGCAGGATAAACATTACCCCAGCATTTCAATTAAAAGACAAGTGTGTATTTATACGGCAGAAAACTAGGAAAAAAAATCAACGAGTGGAAAGATGGAACTTGTGCTCAGAGCGTGGGTTGTACAACCTAAAGAAAGTCGCTTGATCTTGCTGCACTTTTTCTCATTTATAATAGATACATCTCATTTATAATAGATAAACAGAAACAGTACTCGGCAACTGCGGGACCTGAACCTATTCAGCCTCCACAAGAGAAGGCTGAGGGGGGACCTGGTGACCGTCTATAAACTCACTAGGGGGGACCAGAAGGGTTTGGGGGAGACGCTGTTTCCCCTAGCGCCCGCTGGCATAACAAGGAGTAATGGGCACAAGTTGATGGAGAGGAGGTATAGA